CCCCAACAAAGCAGTTACCTTAGACTTCTCTAATGCGTTTTAAGTGTTAGAAAACGACAAAACTCTAATGGAAACTAGACAAGTACTTCAGTGTACTCTTTAAGCTTCACCTGTTTGGTGTTATGCATATTGTAAGGAATTCAGAGAGGATTCCCCATTACTTCAGGACTTGAAGGACCACGCATCCGTGTGGCAAAGTTAAGGCTTAGAGGCTTGAAGCTGCAAAGGCATGAACAGGATGCTTCCTAGGAAGAGGACAGAAGTCTCTGTAAATGACAATGTAGTTTAAAACCAAAACTGTCCACTTCACATACCCCAAGTGGACCAACTCAGATGCTGACAAGATAAAAAGCAAAATGTGCATGCACGGAAGAAAATACTTCTAGGTTTGGCTGATCCTGATGATTTTAATTAAACATTATGCAGTAGGAAGTCTCAGCCTCTTTACAGGCTGACAAAACTCTCAGAATTTAATTTATGCTCTCCAGGCTGTAACAGGCCCTCAAATATGACTTCACTAGCTACAGATGTCACAAGCACAGGTTACTGCAGAGAAAGTTTTCTGCACCTCCCCAGCAAACAACCAAATGTTCTCACAAACATCCAGTAAGAGTTCCACAGAAATCACTCGACACACCACATAATCCTGAGAACAGTAATATGTAGTGTTGCTTTGCAGATGCAAGACACATGCTGATGGCGCAGAGTAGAAATTCCTGGAAATTACTCTGTTGTGTCCTTCCTCACTTCTACTGAAATGGGACTATAATAGTTCCTGCTACACCAAGGCCTGAACTGACACAAATCTGCCATTTTTGCAAGGCATTTCCTCTACCTCTGTCCCCCAGTATAACTACATCCCTTCGTTTACAGTTAGCACAAAACATCATCAGTAAACAACTCTGAAGGGGCCTCTTTTGCAAATGAACACACTTGTTTTAAAGCATCAAGCTCAGGGACAAGATTTCAGTGGTATGTGCAACCCCCCATGCTGTTCTGTCTCCCACTATCACTTCTCTGATTAAGAACCTAATCAGACCCTACCTCCTCTAATTAAAATCACCCCCCCTTCCCCACCCCTGCCCCTTAAAACCCACCACCACTTCAGAAGAGTCCTCCTGCTGTTTCCAAATCACTGGAGCAAACAGAACAACTTCACAGGTCATCAGGCTGCCATTTGGCAAGGGAACCAACAGGGACTTGCTAATTCCTGCATTTTTCCTGTTAACTACTCACTGCTGTCTGAGGAGGGAAGGTTTCTGAGTTGGTGCTGTGTAAATTTATCAGTCCATTTACTCAGTAACAAAAATCACAAAATGGAGATGAGGGTAGTTTATGAAACAAATGCTTGGAAAAAAGGTTTGGCAACCAAGGACCGTTTTACAAACTCTAATGTTGCAGAAACATGTCATGCAGCAACAGCCAAGTCTGCAGAGTCCTGCCATCAGGTCCAGAGAATATGTGCCATCCACGGGAGCTCTATGATCCTAGAAAGGGAGCCATTCAGTGCTGCAGGGAATGAACATCTCTTCCAGGCAGAAGAGATGCTAATACTCCAAACTCTACAAAGGGCAATACATCTTTTTTGCACAAGATGGAGAAGGGGAAAAAAAAAAAAAAAAAAAAGAAAAATCAAGAATTTCCTCCACTCCCACAAATGAGAGTGGCTTTTGCTGAAGCAGCAATTGTCAACTTGGCAACAAAGCTTATTTACAAGTGACATTTCAATTTGATTTGGCAGATTCAGCCTGACACTGTTGCAAATACTCTGACAAAATAATCAAGATTTGATTGTATACAAGAGTTAGGTTCGTATAAGAAGTAGAAAATATTAAAACGTAATGTGTAAGTTAGGATTGTTAGGTTTGAAATAGGTAACCATAGAAAAGTCACCATCAGAACAACAAGTTACTTGTATAAAAAAACTAGTATTATTATACTGGAATTGTAGTTAATAATGACAAGGTTTTGATTATACCTTGCTTTGAATTTTGATCAAGATGACTTTGATTGATAATGAGAGAACTGGGAAGGGAGTAAGAGTATGTAAAGTCCTAGAAATTGATGAGAACAACTGGAACTGATTGTGTTAGGCCAGCGAGCATGGATGAGTTATACGACAACCTGACAAAGTGGTCATTGGATTAATTAACTTGGACCCAACAATCTTCAACCCCCCCTTGTCACACCTACAACACTGAACTGTGCAAACTCAAGACAAGGAGGTCATCCAGTGGACACCAGAGGGTGACCACCGAGGGTCTTAAAAGCCCCTAGAAGACTCTTCCCATAATTAACTGCGAATGCCCAAAGGGGAGGCACCATATGTAAATGATCTCAGGGAAAAGTAATGAATATACATCCTGATTCCAAGAATTACAATGAATATGTAATCAATTGTATCTATGTAATCGTTCACGGTAACAGCTGGGTGGAGCAATCCCCTGTGCATCCAGCGCTGCAATAAAGGAGTGCCTGCTTCCACATATGACATTGGTGTTAAGAGGTTTTATTCCTGATTTCAGTGACAACACTATGGCAATTGCACAGTCACTGGCTTGTGCAGAAGCCATGCCTGCAAAGCCTCAAGTCTACTGTGTTTAGTTGCTCTAAGTGGGAAACAAGACAGCCATTCCTCAAAGCATCTTCAAGCTTTTGCTTTGGTGCTAAGGGCAAATAATGGTCTGTGACTATGGGAAGCTCCCTCCCTCCCACCTCCAGATGTAATTTGACAGGTTTTGTTCCCCTCAGTAGTGCTGGTTTAAGCAGCCCTAGTTTTACTCCTGTGCTGACTTAGCTGCATGTGACAGCAAGCAGAGGTGCAGAAAGCAAGGAAATAATTTGGTTTAAATCGGGGGGAGGGTCAGGGGTGAAAGGGATTAGTGTAGGTAGTGTGGAAGGACTTGCTTAGACAAATAGTGCCAAAGTGGCTAGGGAGCGAGACGAGCTGCTTAAATTGGACCACTGTAATGAAGGGCCTGTCAACAATATGAAATAAAAGATACAGAAGACAATCCAAGCATCAGATTCCCTCAGAAGCTACTCTTGGGAGGCAGGTGTATTACCCCTCCTGTCCATGCAGTGCTGGCCATAGAGCAGTGCTGCAGCCAGATATTTCATTCACTGTCACCATCGCCAGAAGTCACCAAGTGCCAAAACCACACGCATAGTACTTACAGCCTTTCCATGATACAGCATATGGGAAGGACTCAGGGGCACGTACTCTTGAAGGCAAGCAATTCTTTTGTTCAAAGGTGCTACTGGAACTGAAAGACTTCAGTTACTTCTCCTGACAAATGCACTTGCTCAAATTTACACATTTTAACTCTAGCATGGAGGAAAGCAGGGACATAAGTACTTTGCCAGAGGTGGTGGTGCTTAGAAGAACTATATACACTCTAAACACTAGTAAGTTTTCCAAAAAGTGTAACAAGTGAAACCAGATAGTCCTGTCCCAAAAGTCGGAGTTCATTCACCCAGTGTGCAAGCCAGTAACACACAAGAGTCAAGGTGTTAGCTATTTATTAGCAGTTCTGGACAGAGCACGGTGCTAGGGGTTATTCCTGCAAAGCTAGCACACAAAAGGCAAAAAAGATAAACATATTTACACAATTCTATCCAGGTCATATTTGCATAATGAATCTACATCACTACTTGGCTAATCTGTGACTGACTTAACTTTCTCTCATGTCGAATTAAGGGTGCAGTGCATTTTGAATATACTGCGCGTATTCAGCAGGTAGGGGTCTTGGAGGCGGGTAGCTTTAGTACTAGAGGTGTAGTTTTCATATTGTAATGAGCTGAGTTCACCTCAAGGACACATTTCTAGCCAATTCATGTAATATAGCCAAGTTTCTCGGGTAATCAGCCCTCTAAAGTTTTCTGGTCCCTGGTTTCAGATCTACTTGTTCCTTTTATCCTATTGTCTTGTCAAGAACCCTTCTACCCAAATGATTTACATCAGTTCCTTATCTTTGTTAGAAATTACAACCATAAAGACCTTGACATCAGTTTGTCAACATCCATAGCACTGCTGTCACCCCTTATAGAAGGGGAGATATATCATGGTTGAGCTCATACAGAACCCCAGAGCTTTCAAGTTCAGGACTGTTGTTGCATAGGGGCTTAGACCAACCTTAAAACATGCTTTGGCAACTCTGGTAGTACCATCACATCTTGTGTACAGCCTCCAATCATGATCCGCTGTTGCATCAGTGAAACCCATCAAGGCAGCTCCATCCAGTTCGCAGCTGGCCATTAAGCTCCTTCCTCCCCCAAACTCAAACTGTGGTTACGCTTTGCAAAGGGCAGGAACGGGAGGTTTCTGCTAACATAGGGCCCTAATGCCAGCACATCTGCCAAGTCTAAGGTGACAGGAGGTCACAAGGGACTCCTAGCTAACCATTAGCTCAACAGAAGCTCAGTCACTGTTTGAAAAAGCTCTAGAGGGAGGCAGCTAGCCACATTTCCAAAGTCAGCATAAAGGCTCAGCACCTTTCACGCCTGTACATTGGCCAGACATCCAGCAGGAACTGAATAGAGGCCACGGGCAGGAACAGCATGCTGCCACAGGCATACAAGAGCGGAGAGTATCTGTGTTCCTAAGGGCTTCCTTCTCTTGTATGGCCCAGTCATATGAGAAAGCACGGAACACTGAACCAGCACCCTAAGAACGTTCACTGTTAATCGGTACCCCTCCTCCCAGGGTTTGTACAGCAGCCAAGTCAGCCCATGCCCAGCCGTCCAGGCTTGGTTGGGAGTAGGCTGTAATATTCCTCTATACAAAACATTGTTGTAAGGAATCAAACTTGCATTTGCTACCTGTTTATGCCAGAGTTGGTCATGCCCCAAACAAAAGGAGAATCTGACTGCTCCAATGACTCTGCAAAAGGAAACAGATGTTGTGGCTCAGAACTAAGAAACTCCAGCAAACATCAGCAGATTAGGAATATGTGTGTCATTTTTCTATATGTTTGAGGGAGTAAAAGTTGGTCTAATGATGACTGTGTCTGCTGCACTGTCATTTAACTGAGGAACATAAAAGTCTTATCATGTTTCTGTTGTCATCATTGCACATAAGGTACAAAAGCTTATACGGGAAGGAGCAGATGCTTGGAAATGTATCTCCATGCCAGTTAGGGCAGGTATCTTGAATAGTTCTCTATACCAAAAAAAGCCTGCCACATGGAGAGATGCACGTTTTTAGGAATGAGCATAAGCAAGGTGTCCTACAAGTGAGATCTAAGTGAACAGCATCTCTGGACTCACACTGTCCCAAGCGGAGTTGAAGGACAGGACTAGGAAGAAGGCAGCAGAGTGGCAGATAGGGAAGTTCCTTACCTGCTTCCCAGTCTTCATCACATGGAGGTGCCTGCCATGTGCTCACAGCATTCATCTGCTGTCTCTGGAAGCCAGAAGCCTGATTCACTTCAGGAAGAGAAAAAAAACTCAGTGACGAGCAGTCAATCCTGCTTCAGAAGCATTGAGTGCTTTGGATCAAGCTGTAAAAGATCTCTTGGCTTTAGAGGAAACCCAGTACAATTCAAATAGGCGAGGTACTCGCAGGAGCCAGGTACTGATCTGAAATCAAGCAATTCCAAATTTGTGTTTTTCAATGAACAGGAAAAGACTCTGCCCCCTGGAACTCTGCGGCAGGAAATCTCAAGTGAAAAGGGAC